AGAGAGAGAGAGAGAGAGAGAGAGAGAGAGAGAGAGAGAGAGCGCGCATCTCTCCTTAACAAGAGGATACAAGGCGCAATTGATGCACTCAAAATTCGGCCACTGAATTGTGAAACTAAGGTGAAATCAAGTTAATATGGGCATTTTCCCCAGTCATCTCAATGGCAAAAAGTATCCCAATTTACCTGAATTCACCCCTACCTCTAAACCTGACATGCCATCATAACAACGCAACGCGCATGATGCCAGACGCTTCAGAATATGGCCATATGATGTGATTCTGACTTTGCTACATGATAAAGCACAGGAGGATTTTATAGTTTTACCATGAAGAACACATTTAATACTGGTTGAGAGAAAGATCCAAATAATACATTAGTCTGAAATATCAGTATCAATATCAGTATATGAGAATAATGTCCATATCAGTGTGACCCTAATCTCAATTGCTTCCCAAGAAATGGTAGGCCATGTTTCAAACAGCTGCTGATTCAGACTGAAATCCACAAACTCCATAACTCTCGCTCACACAGTCCAACAATGTCCTGGATGGATTTCTGGGGAAATATAAAACCTCCAACACCTCGGTGTAACCTGTCCTGTTATATAACACAATCTGACACTGTTGACTGCTGTGAATGAAAGCGATGCTCTGTAGTCTGGATTAGATGTCTCACTAAATGACCATCAGATACAGAAGAACTGCAGGATTCTGCTCAGTGTGAATGAGAGTACAGCCAGCAGGTGGCGCTCTACACACGAGTCCAGCATCTGAATGTGCTCTCAGGTGAACACAAGAGGAACACAGAAGATGAGAAATAAAACAACAGCAGATGAATGCTTGAGTACTGAACACACCGGCGATGAAGAGAAGAGTTTGAAATGAAACGAGGACGAGCAGGTGATTCTTCTTGTCTCCGATGAAGAGAAGAATCCAGAATGAGACCAGACACATTTATGCCGATTTGATCGCAAATGTGATTGAATATTACACAGTGAATCAAACCTTGTGCATCTATCAAGACCACTGAAAACTGGAGTACATTATACAAGAAAATACTATTTCAATCTTTCTACTTCATGAGTTCATGTTTAATTCAGAGTTACTCGCTGTTTATGTGTAATTTACTAGCAATGTTTGAGTGAAAATCATTAAAAAGTAAATCCTACACCATTTTATTTTAAGAAAATTTTAAAAAGATACATTATCCGGGCTTAAAGGAGACATATTATGCCCCTTTTTTTACAATATGTAATATAAGTCTCTGATGTCCCCAGAATGTGTCTGTGAAGTTTCAGCTCAAAATACTCCACAGATCATTTATTATATCATTTTTAGATCTGTGTGGCAGCAGCAATGTATATTAAATAAATCAATAAATCACTGCTCAGTTGTCTCCTCTGAGGCTGGGACTCTAAACAGTGTTCTGTGCTCATCTGGGCAGCCAAACAGAACAGTTAGTGTGTTTTGCTCAAACTTTCACCATGGCATTAGAGCTGCTACATCGTTGTCGCTTGTGAAGTCAAATAACGGTGCCATGGCTGGAAACGTGCAGATTAAGGGGCGGTAATATTATAATGAGATCCCTTTGCCACGTCACCAAGAGAGCGAAATCAGACGCACTGGTTTTCTCAGATGCTTGCAGAAAAAGGCTTCCCAAAACAAAGTTACTGGGTTAATCTTTTTCACATTTCCTTGGTTGGTAGATGCACCGGGGACTCGATTATAGCACTTAAAACCTGGAAAAGTCATATTTTCATGATATGTCACCTTTAATGTGCAGAGACTAAATAAGCCATTTATAGGTTTATTTCCCTGAAAAGTGGAGTGACTGACAATGGCTCAACCAATAACAAGAGTTGGTGGGCGGGGTTAACTGTTGCTTCAGACCAATGGCATCCTGTTTGAAAACAATCATACACTGCAGTTCTGTTTGGTTCCGCTTGAGCTTCAAGCACTTTGTGGGTCAAATGATTGCTGATGTGAGGAAAATGCTCTACAGTGACATTATAATACAATAATGGCACAATGACTGTGACACTATTCGTGTTTCATGCTCAGATCATCATTCAGAGCTTCATGTGTTCGAGTTAGATTATATAAAGCAGCAGTTCATTCAGATCTCCGGCTCCAGGCGACCCGGTCGGGCCTCACATCCCGTCCCGTCTGGATGGCTCTGCGCTGGGCTGCTGGATGCCGGCGGTCTGGCTCTGGAAGAGCGGCTGGAGGAACAGACCCAGCGTTCCCACCACACACACGATCACAAAGATCCACAGAAACAGGCGGTCCACCACCATGGCCACATATTTCCAGTCCTCGATGACCTGCGGATGCACAGAGACCGGCTCGTTAATAACCCTATCGACGCATTAGTGCACTAATAAGGGACGAGGAAACAAATGGAGTCGGAACACAGTGCTGAGCCACCGCTTTTGAGCAGCGCAGCCGCTCCATCTCTCAGACTGCTGTCCTCGGCACTTTCTGAAGCTCACTGTTATTCAGTGTCTCTCTCTCCTTCAGAGTGATTTAAGCACACGATCGATGCTCTTACAATGGGCTCTGACTGAACGTAACCTCTGCTGTATCCCACCTCTGTTTGTGTGTCTGCTGAATAAATGTTCTTTGTTCAATTTAAATGACTTTCAGTTTATACTGTATAATTCAATCTGATTTAAACCCATAATGTGCAGGTAATATCTGACTAAATATTTAGAGAAACGTGAGGATGAGTGAGATGTTAGACTGGTGTTTCCTCAAACTCAACTTCTTGGTTTAAATCTGTCTGACAAATTGAACCGTTCGCAAATATTTAATGTTTTAGATCGATAAGGGCAATTATGGCCTGTGATTTACAAGTGAAACCATAAAACTCTACAAGCCTTGAATCTCACTGACGAGTTCTTAGGATGATGTGACATTACAGATAATATGAGCTGTTTGGAGTCAGAAATACTTTGCCATTAAATAATACTTTTTTTTTTTTTTTAATATAATTTATTTCTGTGATCAAAGCTGTATTTTCAGCATCATTACTCCAGTCTTCAGTGTCACATGATCTTCAGAAATCATTCTAATATGCTGATTTGCTGCTCAAGAAACATTTCTGATTATTATCAATGTTGAAAACAATTTCATATTTTTGTGGAAATCGTAATACACTACCATTCAAAAGTTTGGGTAAGTAACAAATTAAAACTTGTACTGACATTAAATTGATCAAAAGTGACAGTAAAGGCATTTATAATGTTACAAAAGATTTCTGTTTCAAATAAATGCTGCTCTTTTGAACGTTCTGTTCATCTGTGAATCCTGAAAAATAAAATGCATCACAGTTTCCACAAAAATATTGTGCAGCACAACTGTTTTCAACATTGATAATAATCAGAAATGTTTCTTGAGCAGCAAATCAGCATATTATACTGATTTCTGAAGATCATGTGACACTGAAGACTGGAGTAATGATGCTGAAAATACAGCTTTGATCACAGAAATAAATTACAGTTTAACAGATATTCACATAGAAAACAGCTAGCTTAAATTATAATAATATTTCAAATTTTTACTGTTTTGACTGTATTTTTGATTAAATAAATGCAGCCTCGGTGAGCAGAAGAGACTTTGAAAGGTGTGTCTGGGAAGCAGTCACTCACACTTTGATCGTCGTCGTTTCCCATCATGTGATCAGCTACATAGCAAACGCCGTCCACAGCCTCCTGGATCTCAGATCCCCAGTCTGGAGCCGCCCTGCTCTCTCTCAGGTCCTGTGTGGAGTCGTGTTTGCGGGAGCCGAACTGAATCTGAGGTCCTCTGTTGTTAAAGTGTCCCGGGGACGAGAGAGCCGAAGCTGAGGCCAGCAGCGCGGAGGCGGATGAAGACATGCCGGATCTGTGAGGAGCACCGAGGCCCAGCAGAGATGATCCGGGGTCCCGCAGACGGCGCTTCTGCCGCAGACACTGACAGGCCGAGTTTCCCCGTGGTCTCTGCATGAACAGCAGCGCTGGAAGTCTGACCAGGAACACCAGCTTGACCCAGTCCGGCATGCTGTGTGTGCTCGGAGAGCGATGGTGCACGTTCAGCACACACACACTGGTGATGATGGAGAAGGTCACCAGCACCATAGTGAACATCAGGTACTTCCCTATCAAGGGAACGTCCAGCGATGTGGGCGGCACGATCTTGGAGATCAGCAGCAGGAAGACAGTCAGCGCCAGAAGGACGGAGATGCACAGCGTCATCTTCTCGCCGCAGTCCGAAGGCAGGTAGAAGACCAGGATGGCCAGCGAGGTGATGAGCACGCAGGGGATGATCAGGTTGATGGTGTAGAAGAGCGGCTTGCGCTTGATGATGAAGTCGTAGGTCAGATCCACGTAGGTGGGGTCCAGAGCGCTGACCGTCCTCCGGCCCGGCAGAGCCAGGATGTCCCACTCGCCGCTGGGGGTGAAGTCGTCCATGCTGGCCACCTCGGACTTCAGCAGCAGGTCGATCTCGGTGTGATCGTAGGTCCAGGAGCGGAACTTGAGCGTGCAGTTCTGCAGGTCGAAGGGGAAGTGCTTGACCTCGATCTTGCAGGCGCTCTTGTAAATAGCGGGAGGGAGCCAGGCGATGCTGCCGTTGAACAGGACGATGGCGTTGGTGAAGACCGTCACCTCGTACGTCCCATCCGCACTGTGGAGCGAACAGAAGAATATCAGATATGTGACTACTACAAGGGCATTTTAAGCTAACAAACATACAGTATATTTAACAAATGTGACCCTGGAGCACAAAACCAGTCATAAGGG